AGACGCGCTCGGAACGCGACACGCCGTACGCTCGGGTCTGGTTCTGAGGCCTTAGTAAAGCCTCTGATCGGGTGGTGAGTCACCCGTGCTCGCCGACCGTAGGCCCCTGCTTACGGTGGCCGGAGATCGTCTCACGATCCCCGACTTCCGGAGTGTCTCTCGCGACGGCTGGAGCGTGAGCAGGTTCGTTTCCTCACGCGCTCTGCCTCCTCCTTAGCTAGCATGACTACTTCGCAGAAGGAGTCCCCCTCGCTGAATGGTCTGGACCAGAGCCAGACGCTAGAGGTCACCGTCGCCTATCACATCCCTTAGGACACGGCGTTGCTCAGCCCACGCAGGGCACACCGCCGCCATATACTCAGTATTAAACCCGGGCGTTCCTTCCCGCCTAATCCGAAACAGGAACCTACCGAAACTTCCCTGTCCGGTAAACACCTGCGTCAGGCGGTAGGTGAGGACGCCGTAGCGTCTCTCAAGCCACTCCTCAAAGAGAGGATTTACTGCTGCAATGACAGTGAGCCCAGTGGTGAAGTACCTGTAATAGTAACTTTTATAAAAGAGATGAGAGAAATAAAAATTAATAGGTTTTTGAAAACAATTTTAAAGAAAGTTCTACAGTTCTACAGTTCTACGTCCAATCTTACCAGACACGTATGTTCAATGTTTTGACGTCTACAGCAAAGGCATAACTAATTAGTATAATTAGGCCACGGATTCAAGTTAGTTAGCTGCAACGGATAATAACTTCAATCAACTAATTTCATTACATAGTCAGTTAATGGACTCGTCTGTTTATTCGGCGCCATATAACAATTCAGGTGAAATTTTTAGTGAGGTTGCAGCTCTAACTCAGTCTGGCCTATCATTCAAGTAGCAGCTCGTTTAAGTTTCAACTAAGGCAATTATTGGATAAGATCTAACCATTTAGCCAGTGATTTGAAGTGGGAAACGAGTTACTATATTATTTATACTCTGACTATGTTATTACATAGGTATATACTATGTTATTACATTATCGTCTTTCAAGAGTATAATCAAAGAGCTAGAAATCTGCAAGTTAGTACATAAAAATGTGTTAGAATGCTACCAATAAATTAGGCCACTAATATAAATTGGGTAATTAAATTATTTGCCTTCAATGTCTCCAAATATTCAATATTGATATTTTTGATACTAGGTATAATCAGTTAGGAGGATAAGAAATAAATAAATACGAATATTTTTTTTCGATACAATTAATATTTAATGAATTACACAGTTTACACAGAAACACATTTCGATTAAATACAATGACTACAAACTAAATTATATAGAATGTCGTATATATTATTATATTATCAACGGTAATACAATATTTCACCACAATATTGTGAAATTAACATTATCCAACTGATTTTTTACTTTGTTACCTGAGCAATAAGTGACACAATCTAATGTCAATCATAAGAATTGTCAAAACAATACGCTTTTTTTAGCTATGGTATACATAATGATCAAAATCAGTTGAATAAACTTCTATGTCTATAAGTACCTATCTATTCACTAGTGTCCAGTATAAATTGATTCGTATACACGCCTAGTTATTATTTGCATACATAGGTACCTAGGATATGTACCTAAGGCTAAACCGCACTACAATTGATATAACTGCAGGTGCTTTTTTATTAAATAACATCAATGTAACCACTCGCACTAGTGGAAGCGAGTACTTAATTATCTGAGACAGTGACAGACAATAATTTCGACGTGTGGTCCGTATGATAGGCAACCCCTCATTTTTACTAGTAACTATGTATATTTAATACATGATTTTGATTGTATTATTAACACTGAATATTCATTCTACCTGTGTATTTGGTGGATCAGCAGATAATAGATATACATTTAATAGGGACTAAAATTTTTCTAGTTCAAAGACAAACGTAAATTGCCTGCATTGTTAGTGCAGTAGCAAAATGGTCGGTTGCTGTGGAACGCGTAGCAAGTTCGAATCCTGCATTGTAACGGTTTTTAACCGCCGTGTCTTTAAGAAGTTAAAACCTTTGAGGTTCAGATTAAGTCTAATGACCAATTCAAAAAAATTTGACAGGCCTAACCAAGAATGTGGATTACCAATATTGTGAGGATAGATGGCAGTCGTCTCTCTAAAACTAAGTGCCTACCGCGGAGTCCATTGTGACCTTGAAAGTAGTTGGAACAATGACAGGAGAAAGATAATGCATGGAGGACTCTAAGTAGTGGCATAACATGTGTTCAAGGTCTAAAAAGATAGGTAGTATTTAGTTAGCAATTTTAATTTACAATGCTCGCAGGCCTTTGCACATGGGCACATCAGGCCTGCGCAAGCCGCTGTAACGGTAATTAATTCTGATTAACAAATGACGTCGACGACTGCATCACATTTCGTGAATATTATCACTGGAGAATGGGTCGATTCATTAAACCTCTTACATTCTTTATTTAACCTGGCATGTGTTTAAACATCTTTTCTACTGTGTCTCATATTCAGGCATTCAACCGGTTAACTGCTCTTACTTTTCATATAACTTCCACCCCGTATTACAAAGATTTCAGTACAAAACTAGGCAAGAGTGAACATGTGCGCCTCTGCCTGGTCCTTCAGAGATTAAAAGACGTGGATAGTTTTATGTTTAATATTTACTTAACGCCTCATTTGCAATTTCCTCATTTTTACTCCACTGATGATAAATACTTCTTCGCAACCTTGATACTGTTTTTTTTCTTTATAGTAGTAGTCCGATCGCTAAAATGGCGTAGTAGCTGGCGACTCGATTGTGGAGGTAAGGTTTATACTGGATGTTTTTGGGACTTATAACACAACTTGCACTGTACTGATGTACGCCCCTAGAATATAATAACATTACAAACTCGTAGAGCCATTAGGCTCTAGTTTACCTACTATATATATATACTTAATATAGTGAGTGTAGTTGAGTGAGTGTTGGTATTCCATCACTCACGATATTACCCGACCGATGTAAAGACGACACAAAATCAATTATACCTAAACCCAGTCTAAGCTAGCAGGTTGGTCTGCCCTCGCTTTGGTGATTTTAATAGTATTTTAGAACCTATCTTAATTTATAAGACGAGCGATACATCTTAGCACACTTTTTCCCATCGTGTAATCCTTTAGAAGTACTTACTTAATACCCCTAAAGTACAAAATTAATCGCTGGACGTTGCTCGCTGTTGCTAAGCGTTAATCTCGGGAACAGTTGAACCGATTTCGTTAATTCTTTTTTTGTTGACTTTGTTATTTGTTAGGTTCTTGTGTAAGCAAAACACAACAAAGATGCTCAGAAAAAGTTTCAATGTTCGTGGGGTCCATTAGTTTTCAAGAGAAAGTTTGACTTTTGCCTACACACAGGCCAGTTTGAATATTCCACCAAACTTTTAACTTGAAGGGTAAATCAGTTTGCTCTATCATACGTATCCTCCTATGCAATTTATTGGAAACCTAACCAAATTCAGGACACTTGAAAGTACGAATAGACATAGAATCAACATGGATATCAATATAATAGACATAGACATTAATACAACGGCTCGCTACCATTAATATATCGAATGCATTACATAGTATAAAGAATCGATGTATCGTAATTAGTTTCAAAATATCTTTTTATAAAACATTCCATCTATCTATCCAAAAATAGCATCCTGCTCTCTTCCTTTTTATCTTTTACCTACTTACTTAGGTATGCAAAAACGGCATAGCTACAGCATCATCCTTCCATCTGCCATCCAAACACAAACACAACATCCATATTATTATCATTTCGCATATCTATCCACAGCCCATGAGACCAAGCTCTACCTACCTCCAGTAAAATTTTTAATTTCAAGAATCAATAAAATACGTACTATTAATAATTAACTTTCGTCTAGAAGGTACAGCAACGATTCCAGAATTATCTTAAGAATCATAGCATCGTAACTAGTTTCAAAGCTCCATTTTTTAATTATCTCCTTATGCATTTATGCAATGAGTACATTCTCCTTTTTGGGAAGTCTCTATTCTCATATTCTATTTCTTACCTTTTAACATATGAGTCTAACATATGTATAAACATGTATAGTTAAATTACGAGTTTCGATTTTAATATCAAGCCTATTTACAGGCAAGTTTATAACCTTATTTTTAAGCTTGTAGTGTGTCCGCTCGCGAGACCTTTTGCCGGATGTTCGCAAGCGGCACATTTGCAGCGCATTCGTCATATAAGGACGCACTCTTATATTATATATGTATTTACAGACAAGAAGTTTATACCTTATTCTATTAGATTATAAGGTATAATTTGCTGTAGTATTTACAGAAATCGATTCTGACTAGATTACTATTCTATTTTCCCTTTCGTAACTACTTTCAAAGCTAGATTTTTTCACTTTCCATCTCCTTATGCAAAAAGAGCATAATTTTCTTTTATCTGTTATCTTTTTGCATATCAGAATTACTCCACAGCCCCAAGCATCTATCTATTGTTAAATTACGAGCATCTATTTTAATATCAAGCCTATTAGTATTTACAGACTAGTTTATAGGTAACTTACTTTTAAGACTTTTAGGGTGCGGCACATTTGCGGCGCATTCGCCAAATGTGAACGCACCCTTAGGTATGTAATAGTGACATTACTGATATATGTATTTACAGACAAAAAGCTTATACCTTATTTTTTAGACTATAAAGTATATTTTCAGAAACCAATTCTGATGTAAGAAACCTTCTTCTAGAAGGTCCAGAAAAGATTCTAGAATAGATACAGATACGTTTTCCTCCGGTGCATGCACTGGCTAACACTATATTAATAATATTCAAATAAATACATTTTCAAATAGATACTATTATGTAAACTACACCTAAGTAATTTGAATATCATTATATGTATCCATATTGTCTGTACCTTTTTACCTGAAATGATATCCTATCATAGTAAAGGGAAATAGGATGCAAAAATCAAAAGAAAAGATTAATTGATCTAAAAAATTTATTAATGAATGAGGCGACTATGTGCACATTGAAAACACTTGTTATATTACAATAACTATACTTGTACACTATTTACAAAACCCACGATACATCTATTCCTCTCTCGGCGTGGCGTAGCCGCCGTTATTAGCATCATCATCTTAATTTACACACTGTACATAAGTAGTTTGTACAAGTTTAATCTTAATCTTACATTATTTATACTAACAACATTAATTTAAAACAATGGAAAAGTTGTTGATCATAATACTTATACGGATAATGGTATAAGAATTAAATTTAATCTCTTACATCTAATACTTAACTGATTATATAGTCTACAATATAAATAATATAGTTAATATATGTATCGAATTTTTTCTATAAGCTAATGACTGGTGCGCGACGCTCAGCCATGGCTAACACAATAGTCTCGCCCGTGCAGACCAGCAGACGGCGGACGTCCAACTCGCCTACCTACGCTCTGCCGCTACACACGTTGCAACTGTTGCAACGTCAACCTATCAGAGGGTGGCAGCGTCCTCGCTCTATGTAAGTTCACTACATCGCCCGTCACGTACATATCATACATGTAAATAATACATAAACATCTCAATAACACGCATCCTTACCATATTACAATATACAATTATACATTGCAAATTACAATTCCATACAACACTTCACTATTTACTCGATAAACTAAAAAATACTCATTATAAAATGCGCTTACAGCGTACCAATAATAACGTTTCTAAAATAGGAAAAAAATACATTCGTTATTCATTGTTATTCACTATCGACAAATTATTTAAAAATTACATACAATTACTTATATTAAAAAAATATTTATCAACAGAGGAAATTTAAACATAAAATATATGTACATTATCATGTGTTTTTTATTCCCTGCAGTTGGAATCTCAAAATACAAAAATTATAACTAAAAAAATTCTAATCGATTTTATTATATAAATTAAAACAAATCACAGTAACAAGGTAATGATCGACACAAAATTATTGAAAATGTGATGTTGGTACTCGTATTAACATTTGTGCGTACGAGTTTGTACGTGCAACACTAGAGACAAATAAAAGGTGCAAATTTCAGAACAACAAAAAGATACAAGATTTGGAAATGAGAAGTAATGTCCAAATTTCGGTTGTCAGATAAATATATATGCATCTATGTCCCGTCGTTTTATTTCTACATAATATATGCACTTTTTCGCTGTTTTAGAGAAATGTAATACAAGAATAAGCGCTCAGCGCTGTTAAAAAGCGATACTATGAGGAAGACGAATGGAACGTGATTTTGCGAAGAGAAGATGTCTTTGTGGAGTTTTGACCGGATAATCCAGGCGTAATAGGTGCCATTGTTTGATTCGTACTGGGGTAAGCAGTACATAGGTAATGCTTACCATTCATTTAATTGAAAAGAAAATCGATCATATGATTTGTTTCAACATGATTGGTTGTTCGTATGCTCATAATATTATATCTGATAGACTATATAATTTAACCTAGTTATTCATATTTCATAAGAATGGTGCCGACATATCACCTATTATAGTTGTCGTTAAATTTTTAATTTGCCATTTAATTTGTCAAGTGTTTTATTGAAAGTTCATTAGCACACACATTGTCTACTGTGTAAAACAGTTCAAAATCCGTCGAAAATACTAAAATTGGTTTATTAAGCTCTACACGGGGTTTTAGACTAATTGTTTTAAAATAGACAATGTGAGTGCGCCGTACTGCTAAGAGGGTTTGCTTCAAATAAAGTAGAGGGAAAGGGGGCAAATTCCGTAATGTACAGGAATATTAAATAAGCTTTCGGAAGTGGTGATATTTATAATTATTCCAAGATTGCTTATAAAAGTTAACGATTGAAGTAGGTTTGGTATTGAACTTTAATGTCTGCCCAGGCAACTCCGCCAGATATTGATTAATTTAAAATGTATATACGTGAGCACGGCGCGGGCGCGAGCGTGTTACTCTAACGTTATTCTTCTAGTCTAAGAATAAATACGATTCCAAAGTTTATAATTATTATACAAAATACCTAAACCTACATGGGTACATAAATATTGAGACTTAAAAGTGCCTTGACCAATACGAGAACTCCACCCTGATTAATCCGGAGTTTGCCCATTGAAATGATGAGAAGGTTTTGGTAGACACAATGACTTTCAAATTGCTGCAGTTCAACTAAAAATCAATAAAACGACGTTTCTCTGATTCAATTTGTATATTGACTCTTGTTCTAAATTCATCTCAGAACGTATCATGTTTATGTATTATTTTCTTGTTGTAATACAGAAACTACTGATTAAAATTAATTCAATAAACGTTCCTTAGAAGAGTAAATTCATTCGTGTCATAGTTTACAAGCTTCGTTTTAATGTATTGTGTCTAAAGTGCTACGGTTCTATGAAGACTAATCAATATGGAAGGAAACTCCTAGAATAGTTTAAAATACTGTGTTACACAGATATACGAATTACTCCCGAACATGTTTTGCGAAGAGAAGGTAATGGAAAATGGAAGCAAGTCAGGTAGCCTTTAGAGATTGCAGGAAGTATGTTTATATACATTGTATTGATTGTTGTGTGGGAGACAGCTATGTACATAAATGTAATGGAGGATCGTCAAACATATTTTTATCATCAAAGGACTTACAGGTCCGCAGGAAGAATATTCTCTACTGTAACATTACTATGCATGGTCGTCTTACTATTATGTATTATACCAATTACCGTGACTGCTATGTACATACATTTAACAATGGAGACTGCGTGAAAAAATATCAGTATATCAAAATAAATTATGTTACCTTACTTTTTATATATTGATTGCTTTCGATTACGTTAAAGAAAATAATTGCTGACCACGAAAATAGGTGCAACCTGATTATTTACAAATATAAATAGTTTAATAGTATGGTAACTTTGTTTATATTATGGATAAAGTTATGATTACATAGACACAAATAACTAAGCAATATTACTTTTATATTTGCTTATTACCGATATTAAAATCTTCCGTTCTGGAAAGTACGTAAGCTACAATTAAGGTGTGTAATTATTATTTACATTTAGTTAGTACATACTTTCGTATTAAATTAAATCTCATGTCACCTAGGCTCCTGAAGAGCGTTCAACGTTTTAACTAAGACAAAACAGCATATTTACAAATACGTTAGCTAAATATTGTGATTACTTGAATCAGAATTCGAAGACATTAGAATAGAAAGCGCGATAACATTTTTGGTTTAATTTAGTCATTGGGTTTTTTCTGGTTGGTATTTATTACAATCAATATAAATCCTATCGATTTCTTTGCTACATAATTCGTTAGTTATGGAAGATTGGGGTTCTTTAGAAAAATAATAAGGATTATTTAATCATTGAATTTCAATGCTCCGATTGGTTTATTCTTTCGTCCGTGTCATATAATACAGGCACCATTCGTTTGTTATTATTATATTTAAATGCAACCACTGAAAGTGTTAGTAACTTCGTTAAATTACGTGTTATTATCTTTGTAATAAATAAACATTTTAGACTCATACTAAAAATATAAAAGTATAAAAAACAATAAGAATAATAAACAAGTGCACATGATTTGAAGGATGATCGTTTTAGAGACGGCTATTCAACGGATGTTTTTTAATAAATAATAAAGCGAAACTAAGCACAGCCTACAACCTAATTCGGTCATGTGATAACGTTCCCCGATAAGAATCAATTTCTCTCCTGCACTAAACATTACTATGTCGCGAATGAGTCTTGAAACAATTCTAATTTGTTTTACGATTATTATGTTGTCCTGTACAATTTGCGACATAATTTCAGATTGGTACTAAGCTTATATAATTTATTATTACGAAAATTTGATATTAATTATTTTAATTTATACTAAGCTCATTGATAGGCCGCGGCCTTGTGGCCTAACTGTCGCTTTACATACACGTCGTCATATTACTATGTGGGGAGGCCCTAATTACTCATCTCCTGCCAAGGCCTTGTCTAGATATACTGCTTACGCGCGATAATCAATTTCAATAGAAATGTCCGAATATTCCTGAATTCCGAATAGTCAATAGACAAGTAGTACTGAAAATCAGACGTTGAAATCAATGAAAACAATCCATAACAAAACAAACTGTATCGTAAAATCTTCACTATATACATTCAACACAACCTCCTTGCGTAGACTGAACACATTCAACTTTAATTAAATTGTTTCGGTCGATTCAATCGCATGTCTGGGCAAGGCCTTAGAACTTTATTATATATCATGTATTTACAATGGGAACGAAACTGTGATACTTATGAATAACGGACATGCACTTAAAACTAACACTCCATATCTACGGTCAATCAATCTTTGACTATACGATGAGTATTGCCGAATATTGCACAAACAAACAAAATCATAATTATTGCGTTCACGTCACAATTAATCACCTACACGTTTACCATACGCTATGTAACGACTCCATGGCGTCATTACTAATCCTATTTTATTATTTCAAGCTCTTATCGTGGCTTAATTTTTTGTGAAAGCGATTTTGTCTGTAAATAGGTCCCAAGTAGTAACGTACAAAAATAGATATTTCAGCACTAATGACGACCATAGATATGACCAGCATTATAGAGCGTATGTTAAATATGTATTACTCAAATAAATATTTCAATCAGTTCGTTTCAGGTCAAAATCATACCTTATATATATTTATGAATAGTTCTAAACGTGAATATGGATAACAGGCAATAAGCTATATTGTTGAAAGGCGTCCCGTTACATTCGACCAAGCGATCATGGAACACTGCATTACACCATGTCAGTGAACAGCTCTTCAAAATGTTGCCTTTTCGATTGCACTTTTTCTTACCAACAACAATTAACACCTAGAAAATGCGCAAAGACAAGCACAACTATAATTGTCTACGAAATATGCGTTCATAAATTGATTCTATAAGTACATTTATTTGAACAAAAAATAACAATTTTGTATACTATGTATAAACCTGTTTTACTAAGGTAAAATCTTAGTAATTGACTTTGAATGACGAAGATGAAGACAGTACAGTAGTTAAATAGGTTTATAAACGGTTTCTGAATACTACGATAAACTGTTGTAGCGTGGTGAATGCGTGGTCGATGTGACGGGCCACCGTCAGTAAATTATAACATTTGACTTGATTAGCTCATCTTAGATTTGTGTACAATATTATTTTACATCAATAAGAACAGATGGCGATAGAACGTTACACAGATATTGTCATTTTCATGGCACACAACTCTCATTTACTTACTTGTCCCCGTTCTGCTTATTTTACTCTCAGGTTATTTTTATTTCATATTTTACTTGTACTTTTTACTGCCTAAGGTTTGTGACTACTCGTAAAATCAGCAGAACAGAAATCAATGTATCCAGGTGGTATGTTGTAGTTTGAGTTCGGTAAGTTCCTTAGAGTGTTGGAAGAATCATGAGAAATGTATAGTTTATCAGAATTAATGCCCATATTTGCGCAGTAACATTTGTAGTCAATCTTTGGTTAAATGTGAACCATGATTTGATTAGTTTCGTGTAATTTTGGCCATAATTGTGTCTACTAACAACTTTGTTTAACAACGATTCAGTCGCTTGAGAATCGTTTCTCTCTGTACATTGGAAGAAGTCTGGCTCCAAAATGTACCTACAACCTGGCAAGTACTCCTACAGTATTGACTCTCAGGCAGAGAAGCGCAATGAAGTTCACTGCACTAGAACCGGAATACTGAAATATGGGTATACATATTGATTGTTGTGTTTTGATTGTGTAGATGCTATGGATACGCTAATGAATGTATGTGATGATGGTGAAATGTTCATAATTAAATACATAACTTATTTTCAAAAATTACACAATTAATTCATGAAAATTAATGAGATTCCATATGAGGCACAAAGTAAAACAGTAACATTAACAAAAATATATATGCTATACTATAATAAGATTTACTTGTGCACAGCATGATGCACAATATTATATACCTTAGAATAACTTTAAGTTAATCATTGAGCTTTCCGTTTATACAAATAAATAATATAATAATATGTAATAATAAACTACACCATGATAGAGATAAAACTGTTGTAAAAATATACAGACAATATCAGTATTTAGTTTAACTATACAGGAGATTTTATACTTGTTCTATTGTAACATAGTTCACTTAGTCCTTGCCCTTACTTCTTTTTATTTTTAGCCTTTCTTCCACGTTTTTTACTCTTAAGCTTAAAATGTACGGTCTTACGATGTTTTTTGTCCTTATGTTTGTCCTTGTTACGCTTGACACTGCGGGCAGCGCGCGGCTTATATCACCTCACTTCACAATGTTTATTGTTGTTGACGGGCAGCGCGGACCGCGAGTCCGCGCCCTCCACCGGCTCCTTCATCACGTAACCAGAGCCCTCGGAGCTGCGCGCCAGTTTTAACCGGATTGGCGTCACTTTGTCCGTGCGCACCTTGCGCATGGCAGACGTGGCCTCGGAGTAGGAGGGCGGGTCGATGGCGAGCGGGTCGGGCGCCGACGGATCGTACTCGAACGGGTCGATGGCGGGCTCAGGCGCCGCGCCTTCAGACGCCGCGCTCGTCGACTGCGAAACCGCGCGAGCTCCGTCTGCCTCCTCCTCCTTGGCACGCTTTATTTTTATTACCAACTTTGCACTATCACTTTCACTGTTTACCACTTGCAGTTTTTCCACTTTTTTGTCCTTTTTCCTTTTACGTTTCTCACTTTTATCACTTTTCGGCTTGGTTTTAGCAGTTTTTTCATCTTCTTCAAAATCAGCCATTACCATTTTACGATACTTCATACTTTCGCGTTTAAGGTCTTCCAGGCTAGGTTTGTGAGCCAAGTGTCGCTTTTTGGGAGGGCGATAGATAGTGGAGCCTCCTGGCTCCTCACTAGTTACAGTGTTAGAAGCTGGAACCTGTTGTACAGTGTTGGAGCCAATCTTAATCTTCAGTTTCGGCGCAACTGGTTCAGCAGGAGCGACCGGTCGCGTTGGTTTGCTAGCTGACGCGCGTGCACGACGCTTGTGTGCAGGTGGACCTGACGAGCCGGCTATTGTGGATAGTTTTACATCGTCTGATGGGTCAATATCATCATTCATGCTCACTTCCAGGTGTCTCAATTCTCTCGACAGACCGCTCGTAGTTTTACGTTTAGTCTTCTTTTCCACTGGGCTGTCATTCTTATAGTCCTCTCGAGTTGGAATACTAGTCATAGATGCGACAGCTTTAGGAATGGTAATGACTGTTCGGTTTATTTGTGGTTGAACAGCAGGTGGTGGTACTGGGCCGACGGACACGTTATTGGATGGTTCGTCCATGTTCATATCCTGGGTCCAGTACTGACGCAGCAACTCCTTCTTGCGCATGCGTCGCAGGTTAGTGGACCCGGACATGATGTTGGAAGCCGCCGCGACGGCCGCGGCGTTGGGTGTGTTGTTCATACTCGTGCTTGGATCATTTATGGGCGCGGGCGGCGGTGGTGCCACCGGCTGCGAACAGCTCGCTGAATAATTCGCATCCAAAAATGGTCCCTTGATTTTCACCTTCAATTGGTTTCTGGAGTCCGATAATGAGACCTTCGGTAGCTGTGGAACAAAAGTTTCTTTAGGAAGAACTATAGGTTCAGGCGGTTGACGACTCGGTGAACCGGTCTGGGGATTACTTGCCATTAATTCGGAATGCAATTGCTTTTCGACCTCTTCGTCAATTTCAGGCAATTGCTGTTCAGCAGTGCCGCTGGCAAATGCCAACAAGTGGTACGCGTTTTCTGTCGCAGGCGCAGGATTTTCAAAAGGTTGATACGTGCGCATATCAACAGGCCCGGGTAAGACCGGCGCTACTTGTGAGAACCCTGCCCCGCGCTCAGAGCACGTGGGAGACGAGTTGGCATCTACAGGCTCAGGAGAATGAGGCGGTTTACTATCAGACGTCGGAGGTTTTTTACTTGGCGGAGGAGTTAAGACGCGAGGTGATTGTGATGTGTCCTTATATTGATGTTCAGATTTTCTATCATCTCGAAGATCAATAGATTTTCGTTTATCGCGAAGCGCTTTTAGATCAACACCATCGTTGGCGATTTCTTCATCAAAGTCGTAAACAGTGCCAACCAATTTGCTTTGAATAGAGTTGCCCATGTAGTCAACGGGGAATCCTTGCCCCCGACTCTTAGAGCGGCCACGCCCTCTTTGACTTCTGTTGCTGCGGTTGCTGGGACGCTTGGTACCTTTCGGTACATCACTCTGTTTAGGCGATATACCCGGGCTTTTCCCCGGTGACTTGCTCGGAAACTTAGTAACTTTGCTTAATTTTGGTGGGGATCTGGAATCCGGTGGAATGAGAGTTGTCATGGTTTCGTTGCTATTGTCATTTGACATCTTAGTTCCAGTTCTAGTGCTATTAGTATCATAGGAATCAACGCTAATACTTGGACTGGATACAACGTGTATAAACTTATCACTTCCAGTCACATCGATGTCGTCCCGCGGTGAATCTAACGGCTTTGGTGTCGGTGGAGCAATCATAGCTGTAGTTAGTGCAATATTCTGTGAGGAAGATGTAAAGGCAGCACTGTAGAAGGCAGGTTTGAGAGGTAACGGTGGCGTGGACGTGTATGGGATGGCACTGTAGAGGCCGGGCCCGGGAGACGGTAGGGGCAGCGCCGATGTGCCGGCAAACAGAGGCAAAGAACTCAGGAATGGAGAGGCTTCAGCAGGATACGTCGTGTACTGATTCAGTGGCATTGAAGGCTCGACAGGCCTCGAGTACGCCGGGATAGGTGGATACGTATCTATTTCAGGAATTACATTACCTGAACGTAGATCACTTACGGTCAATCGTGATTTCAAAGTGTTTTTATGAGAGTGTATAGAAGCTTCGGAATTAGTGCTGGAGGCCGACGATCGTCTCGTAGTTATCTTGCTTTCACGCCATTTCTCTTGGCTCACGTACTGCGGCGATGATATAGTAGCGCAGTCCGAGTGTATCATCTCATTATTGTCATAGTTCTGATTATCGTGAGGTAGCTCCACGTCGTTGCTATGTACAGAATGGTCAACGACAGACAAAGGTTGCGAATCATCGCTTTGTTTAGATACAGACATATTGTCAGCTGTTTCTTCTGTAACAGACTGTACATCAGACTGCATGTTTATAGGCTCCTTGACGTCATCGTATGGGTTAGAATTGTCATATTTGCGATCATTGGCAGACTGGCTGTCTTGTGAGTCTAATTGTGAGACAGATAGTGGCACGCTAGACCATTTCTCGTTGCTTGTCATGGCAAGAGGTTGGAATTCTTTAGCATCCATAGCAGCATCTCCCGAAGGTAAATCTCTTTCAATAGATGAAGAAATACGTGAGGAGACATGGTTAACATTGTGATGTGTCAATTCTTTGGGTGGTGAGTGTTCCACTGGTCTTTCAGCAATGAGTTTCTTAGAAGGCGAACTATTCTTCTCGTCATCAGCTTTTACCAGATTGCAAGCGATGTCGTTATCTTTATGCTCATTTTCATCAGTCACCACTATAGGCTCCTCTTGATCAGGGTTCTCAGGCGGCACTTTCTTCGTGCTCAGTCTAATTCTAAGACGATCCACCAAGTTAAGAGTTTCCTGCACTCCTTGCTTGGAATCTTCTTTGAAAAAGAATTCAGGATAAGTTGCAAAAGGTTTTATGATATCGTCGTGGTTAAATCCATCATCGACAGCCATCATACCAAAATCTAAGAATTCACTCTCTTTTGATTGCGGCGAGAACATAGACCTATTCGGATAGGGGTTCGCAGTGGAAGGTATCTTAGCGCTCTTAGATATTTCAACACCTTGCACGTGGCTGGTATCTTGCGTAATGAACTTCTTTTCGGCTGAATGTTTCCTCATGTTCCGTGCGACGCTTTCAACTGTATCAATGTGTTCAATACTTATTGTTCTCGCATCCATCGGCGTCTTAGGTGACTTGATCATAGTATTCTCATTAAGATTAGCTTGAATTTTAGCTATCATTTTGACGCTACTCTTATCGGCAAAATCAGAATCCATAGATTTGTCATCAATATACTTTTCATTTCCTCCAGGCTTTTCTACCTGTGGTGGAATGGCATTTGGACTCGGAGCCTTGGGCAGCCAATGTTTATCGTCATTGTCATAGTCAGTATTAAGGTGTAGAGGATTTTTACTATCAATCGTCTCTATAGGCAGTATCTCTATTTCTATTTTCGATTGGCTAGTCTTCTTTTTAGGGGACCCTGAGGTCCGCTCTGACTCAGCAATGTTATGAGCTACACTGAGCCTTCGATCTTTCTTAGCTGGTTCGCGAACATCATTGCTTGGTACCCGATCTTTTGACGCAGTTTCTTTGACACTCATTCGTCTGCTTATGGACGACTTTTGTTTAGGCTCGGCACTCTTTTTCGGGCTTACTTTATGCAGTGGTGGAACTTCAACTTCAATAGTCTTATTGATTTTGTCTTTATCATCATTAGATTCGCTACGTCGTTTGAGTTTGTTAGTCTTACTCTTAACGTTATTTTTAGGAACATCAACAGTATGCTCTTCCTTTATATCCTCCTTTACATCTTCCTTGATCTTTACCGCCTCGTCCTCTTTCCGTTCCTCAGATGGAAGTTCACTGGACTGGCTGCTCTCTTTGGGGGTTTTATTGGGTCCAGCGGTAAGGGCGTCGTCTTTGGATGGTTTTCTAGATCGGGCATCAGACTTATTAGGCATATTTCCGACTGAAGTAGTGCTTCTGGTCCGAGCACGTGTGGCAGAGCGCGCATCACTGGGTCGGCTAAGTTCCTCTCCTTCAGGAGTCGGTGATGGTACCCTACACTCGGACCGCCGTTCGGAAGTTTTAAGCTTCTTATCTGGCGGCGCCTTGCGTGGGGACGCATCATTGGACACACTTTTAACTTTACGCCTTCGTCTTGGCCTCTTAGGATATGGGCTTCCAGATCGGGACCCGTCTGACGCCTTAGTGCTGTCAGAATCACTCGAGGCACTAGTCGAAGACAGCGGTCTTGACACCCTGTCGAGAAAGGGCAAGTCCACTGTAGGTCTAGTGCCGGGTGGCGAGAACATTGACGGCTGCCGTGTCGTATTGGCCGGTTTAATCTCGCGCGCTTTGGCTGTCGGTTTAATACTGGGTTTTTCTGGTTCATCCTCGGAACTAGATGAGGACGAATAACTGCTGCTGCTAGAATTGGAAGAAGAACTAGAACTTTCCTTCTGAGTGGGTTTGGAACTTTTAGTCTCATCTTTTTCTTTTTTAGGTGACTTAATTTCCGATTTGTCATCTTTCTTTTTGTCAGTATCATTCTCTGTGGGAGGCACTTTGGTACCCAAACCACTTTTAATATGTGCAGCTGCCTTCTTAGCGGCTTGTCTTTGCGGCACATATGAAATTGGTTCCTTCTCGACCTCCTTAGACTTCTTTCTAACTTTCGAAGTAGACTGTGCATCCTTAATTTCTTTTCCTTTATTCTTCGAGGGTTTGACTAAAGGTTTCGGTTTCAAATCGTCACCACTTGATTGTTTTTGGTCTCGTTGTTCAGGAACCTGTTCATCTTTCTTCACCACTGTGGTTGAAGTCCGCATGTTTTCTGAGGCTTTCTTTGCTGCTTGCCTTTGGGGAACAATAAGATCTGTTGGATGGTCTTTTTGTTTAGAAAATTTAATATTTTCTTTATTTTTAGCTTCATCATCGGATTCTATTTTGGTAGGTGGTACCTTTTTGTCTTTGTTAGAAGGTTTCCTGCCCCTCTTTTTCTGAACCGGTTTACTTTCTTCTGGAGCAGGAGTAGTAGTAGTAGTAGTAGGTTTCTTTTCAGGTTGAGTAGGTATGAATTCTTTCATAGCCGCCTTTGTTCTCGGTAAGGATTGCTGTGAATCATTTCCACTAGGTGACTTCTCAACTTTAAGTTTATCCGGTTTATCTTTATCAGATCTAATTTTCTCTGTTTTAACTTGATCTGTCATAATATCAGCTTTGTTGTCTTCACTACTATCGGAGTATATGTCAATGGGGAACTTATTGTTCCTCATGGTCGGTCTAATGGGCATGAGATCGTCGCTATCTGTGCCGGACTGACCCATCTTTCCAGCAGTCATCTCCTTTTCCATTTGTTGCAACGTCTTGCTGCGAGATCGATCCTTCTTTAGTCTGGAATTCATAGATTCATCACTGCTACTCTCAATGAGAGCTTTAGATTGTGGAACTTTCTTTTTCTTCCTTTCAGTTTTCTTAGGAGATCTTTTACCTTTAATTTTAGGAGACACCTTTTTCTTTGGCGAGGCTCCAGCTTTTTTGCCTTCATCATCTGTGCTAGACCCGATAGCTTTGCCTCGGAACCTACCAGGTCGTGCCATTTCTGTCCCACTCTCCTCACTTGAGAGCCCGCTGTACATGCTGCCACTGCGACGTGACCCGTTTACGTAATGTTTCTTGTACGGATTTGAAGACTTCGAACCTTTTAATAGTCCATTACGATCCTTCTTCTTCTCGTCACCAGATTCTGCCGGTGCGATTCGGGCCAATACCTGATCAAAATCATTCTTATGATCCTTAGCGTTATCATGAGAATATAATTTGTCATAAATTGAAGGTCCGTGATTAGCCTCAATGATTGCAGATAATTCCTGTTCAGGAATATCGCCGGCCTCTGACAACACAGCCACTTGTTTGTGAAACGTTTGCTCTCTCATCCGAAAGAATGAGCGGGAGAGCTTCTCCCTTCTGCTCACCATGTAGCATAGATTACGGACCCTCTCCAGATCTTGTCTGAGCTGCACGAACATCTTGAGCTTGTCAATGTCGGCTTGTTCCTGTCGGTGCGTTAATACCTCAGTGTCGTCTGATTTAGGTGGCAGCAAGGGACGATTATGCCCTGCTCGTCTTTTCAACTTCCAATAGTTGTAAATGTAATTGATGGCGTCCTGATCGACGTCCAGGAGATGTGTACTGATATCCTTAACACTAACGTGCTTATCGAACTCCCTCTCAATCTCATGCAAGCGAGCGGCTCGAGCTTGCGTCTTTTCCTCCGACGTCATATCTTTCCTACGCTTTCGTTTCACCTCATCCTCCTCCTCCTGGCCTGAACCTGGGCACTTTTCTTTCTTTGAATTAACACTATGCTTTTGGCAATAGGAACGTAATTTTACACCATCATCCGCGTTTTCGTCCTCAATAATAGCTCGCATTTCTAAACCATGTTTGAATGCACAAGTAACATGGTATGCCGTTTTACAAGTCTTTACGGAACACTGAATACAAGCTCCTTTGCGATTACGACACAAAACACAAACTAGAGACCAGCGGGAGGCTGGAATGGAAGATATCTTAGTAATAGGTTCCATAATCTCCGCGCAGCCGATGGAGACCTCGGGTATCCATAACACACAGCTCACGTGTGCCCACTTGTGACCCGATGGCGTGCATTTCATGGCACCGCCAAGGTTGGGACACAGCACACAGCTAGGCCTGACACCGTCTCCGCACGGCCTACAAAGCCATTGACCTGAAATGATATAAATATATGTCAGCATTGTTAAACCATTTTATTATATTAAATAATACCCTACTCCACACATAGATGACACATAGATATTTACTGGTTGAGAAGGTGAAAGATACAATTCATTACTTACCGTCTGGAATAACGGTGATACCGTAGCAGGCCTGATGCACGCAAATGTTGCATGAGTCACAAAATACCATCTCATTGCCATCTTCCGAATCGGGAGATCGGCAAACATCACAGATGACATTTTCATCATACTCGATACCGAGGCCTTCTTCAGACTTGACGATAGCCTGGATTTTATCCCAGCTACGTATCTATAAAGATATTGAACGTATTCTTACAACTCAGGTTTTATGTTTTGTGCAATTTATTTTACAAGTGATAATTTTAACTTTTTATTCAAATACGACATGATTAAGGACGTGGGTTACGCAATATTTCAATAGTGATATAAATAGTTGATACTTAGTAAGAGGTGCCGCCGGATGGTGTATGAATTACAGGTTCACGCATTGCCGTAGTCACTGTTTCGCGATTCGCATTTGCCTTGAGATCGAGTAAAAACAAACAAGTAAATAAAATGCTGCTTAGCAGTGTTAGGTTATATTATGATAATTCCGTCACCTTCCGCTCGCTCTAACATTTTGTCACTTTCAAATAATTCAGTAGTCCAGTCACTCGCAAGGCATTGCTACATTTATATAAATTGCATACAAATTATATATTTTTTAAATTATGAATTATCCTTATAAACATGTTTCTTCTACAACGGATACACTTTGATAAGATGTAACTATTACATTATTAATCTTAGTATTTAATATATCTTTCTGAATTAGCCCCGTATTCGTATAATAAGTTTTTTTAAGAAAAAAATATGGACAATATTAGTTAATGTTAAATTATCAAAGGCACTGGGCCGTTACGTTTAAGAACAGTTTTTATCTGAGCATTGTAAAATTGACCCTAAGTAGCTTAGTCGGGAAGTCCAATGAGTGCCTTCCACGCAGGACATTTGCGTAAGAGTTCGCCATTTTATAAACTATAGCTTCAGTCGCTAGACAGCTCTCAGCCTTAACGCAAAAAGAGGACACATGAAATTAAATATCACCTTTGAATATTAGATACACTTATAAAACCCACAAGTATTACTGAAGGAAAGGCTCAAAGAAGATCGCAGATAATAAACGCGAAAAGTCGCGGCTAGCGGCAGTTATAATTAGTTTTGTGCAAAGATCTGAAAATCATTTAATACTTTTAGTACAAGTCCCGGTACCAATATCGCAAAATTGCAAAGCAAAAAATTATTGAACTGCGGAAATAAAAATAATGTTCTTGTTTCCGACGGTACACAATCAAATCGAAATAGGCAGCTACTATTTCACGTAGAAAACCCGAATACATGTTGTTCAATTAACAGTTTCTAAAATGAATTCGCCAAAAAAAACTGAAAAATTTATTTTCTTCAAAATTGTTTTTTCCAAGATTCAGGAAAAGTGACGAAATTATCATTAAATAACGTTTGAAAGCATATGCAGTGCACTTACTTACAATGTACTTAATTAAAGTGCAAGTAAAGAGGATCACAATCACAATTTGTAAAGTCGTAAGTAAATCACGTATGACCGTACTCCGCTCTGGGTGTCAACGTACGAACGCGCAACCCGTCAGTTCCTTACTGAGCACACCGAAGCACTGGAGTATCGTCACAGGCATCAGGTACATCACAACACTTATACAATTAAGGGTAGGGAATATCCTGTTTAAACTTTAATACAAATAACGAATCGACCCTACCCTGTAAAAGATTGAATGTTTAAAAAAACTGTCACCGTTTTCAAATAAGAAGATTCTCACAAGATTCCAATTTGAAAGGAAATGCTAAATACAGTATCTTTCCAAAGCGGGACCTTCAAGAACAAGTCTTATTATGTTTATCTGTTATTAATATACCCTAAAGACCGTTATTGGTCCGTCAAAGTATTGTTATTAAGTACCTTTGAAATGCAACTAAATTGTTACTTTATATTTGCAACCGTCTCCTGCGTCGTCACAATACGGGTGGAACTCGGCTCGGTTATTATTTACTTTATATTTGTATCGTACGATGACTTATGATTGTAATAGTTCACTTATTCCTTTGAAGCAATATAGTTTGATTGTTTGTCTTTATTTGCAAATCAAAGCCTAATAATTGAAGAAACACCCAAATTATAACATCGCAAGGTATAAATATTTTGGTTTTCATTTATTTCTATTTATAATATTAATAATTCATGGATTGTGAGATTATAAAATGTATAACATAAACCTGATTTAATTATTAGCTGTATTAATTTTAATTTTCAGTTCAATTGTTACAAAAACATTGTGTATCGTTGTATACCATCTTGCGCATTGTTAGGTACTTATATCGCTAGCAACTAGCAACATTAAGTTCAATTTATGAACCGTTGACCTTCAAAAGTAGCCGAGGGGAGAACTCTGCACAAGCTCGCTGCATTGTGCACTCTCTGTGCAGCCAGAGGTTATGCAGTTATGCACTATACAGTAAAAAGTAGAGCACAAATTCATTTGTATAACGAACTCGAGGTCAAAGTTGCAGAAGTCATCACCATAATGTAAGAGAAGTAAAGATGATTGAGACGTAGTATGAAACCGGTAGTCACAAAATACCGGTGGATCGGAGCGAATGTAAAAATAATTAATTTTCCTTCAGCATTGTAAAGTTAACGTGGACGACAGGCAGACCTTGTTAAATCCACAAGTGTTTCATGTAAGCGTAGGTAACAATGGGAATTGAAATAGTTTTTAAAGAACATGTTTTTTGCATTCATCTAATAGGAGAGGCTAAATGGAGATGGACGAAGCTCGTGGCGTTTCATTTTGTAAAACCTCATAAGATAATACTTTATCAACGTTCATTTTGCAAAAAACATGAATATTTAATTTTTGTCGTTATGTATCGATTTAGAATTGGCTACTGTAGCTCAAAGGGATTCTTTATTATGGATTAAGCCGATAAACGGTAAGCAATCGGCGCCGCCCATGGACACCTGCAACACCAGCGGCGTTACAAGTTCGTTACCGGCCTTTTGGGAATCGGAAATTTGAGGATTGTGGGGGATTCGGGGATTGGGGAGACTGGGGAGGAGGGTAGTTGGGCATCCGTTAACCTCACTCACACGACGTAAAACAACGCAAGCGTTGTTTCGCGTCAGTTTTCTGTGAGGCCGTGGTATCGCTCCGGTCGACCCGAGCCATTCGTGCCAAAGCAGCTCTCCCACACTTAAATGTGGGATGTTGAAGAGTATCCCAAAAAGTTCCGTCACCTGTGGCAACTTAAGATCAGCTAGAGACCTTGAAATTGAAACCAGTTTACTGTCCTGCCTCTGTTGCAATGTCTTCATTGTCCAGGCCGTGGTAAAACACCCCTTTATACTTTTGTTCAAATCAATAGAACGGCTGCTTAAAAATTCTGACTATGGGTAGCAAATGCTTCAATAGAGTATTTTTAATCCAAACATTGCGAGATTGAATATAAAACGTTTTCTTTTAGAAATACCGGTACCTATCAGCTAGTCTCCTTTGTGACGGACATGTGGCCGCTAATAACAATGTTCGTGTTCGGTGTCCGACGTTCAGTTGTTACCACGAGTCTGGTAACACGCGGGAATCAGTATACAATAGCGAACAAACCTTCACCTTGCACCACGAGCTCACGGATAAACTAATATGCACGTGCGAATTGCACACTACCAACCGCTCAGTACTGTTATAATCTCATTCTATACTATAGCGCACGTGAATCTATTTATGTTATAAAAGTTACAATTGGGGACCAATTTTCATCGAGTCACTCGGCGTTGAGCTTACAGATCTCAGAATTCTGTTCAATTAAATGTTCTATACATTGCAAATAGTTGTCCGTTATAACATCCATATATTTAATACCTTTAAAATATGGTTGCGAAATATTTTGAAATTGCAGTGCCTTCTAATAGTAGGTAAATAATAGTAAGTAACTACTAACTTAGCTAAACTGAATTCAGAATGACGCGCGCCACTACCTTCAAAAATCTCTGAACCTGCAATGTCAATAACTTCTCTAATATAGGAAAAACTACTAGTCTATATTGCCTTTAAGAGGAAATTGAGGCACAGCTTGATATTAAGATATAAGTTAATTATATTTTATGAGCCTACGGTAGAAAATATAAAGCTGGAAATAGTAACAG